GAGGGGGAGAGTGGGCTACCCGGTTTTGCCTACCTCGCTCTCTTCTTGAATGACAACTAAATGCATGGTGTTCCGGTAGCTCGAAACTCGGGTAGTAAAACACTGTACTTCAGCGTTTTCAGACTAGGAGTTACCTGTATTCAGGGGTTACGTGTGACCAGGCCTTCATCGCCTACGGGGCACCTTTCTGCACCATTTCGCGGCAGGCGCAGCTTGGCTCCAAATCATTCTACGAAAGGGCCAGGAAAAACCTTCGTTGGCAAATGGTTGCCTTATGCGGGACTGGCGCCGCGTATTCGACCGGGATTGCAGTCTGTGAGCTATGGAACCGCGCAAAACACACTCCTCTCGTTACATCCACGATCCTTGTGAGTGTCAACCCGTTGCTATCGTTCTTGTAGGAGGGCTGTGGAAATGATACGCTCTTCGTGTAAACCGCGTGCAATAGTTTTTGCGTCGAGCCCACCACCGAGCATATTGTGTAGCGCATCGAGGCGTGTACATCAGTGGGAGTCGCAAGATTTCCCCAGATCACGTTGTGCCAAGCGTTGTAACCCGTTTGTTCTGCCAAGTACTCCACGGTGTGCGGTGAAGCACTGCCTACTACACCACGGTCGTGATGTAGCCGGGCATCACCCGATCACTCCGTGGTGACGGGAAAACGCACGGAAGTCAATCTCTCTATGACCATATCGTGTCCCCCCCCCATCAGGCGCTAACTTACCGCCCACCCAGGTTGACGATAGCTTAATGCCGTCGAGGGCAACACTGGGTGACTAGCGAATCAATGTGACAACTGCACGAATATTCACCCATTCCAACGCCACAACAAACGAACAATCACAGTTCCTGGCTAGTCGGGTAACGCAGCGGCAACCGTTTTCACTTTGTCTAGCCTGTCACAATATTTTGTGGTCCAAAGGTCGTAAGCAGTTGTGAATGGATCAATTCGGTCGTACAAATATTGAGGACTTGCGAGGATGAATACAGAAAGCTCTGGCGAGCACATCGTGCCCTCGCATTGTCCCGTTTCATAGTCTTGACGTAGAATCGTACCCATTTGTAGTTTCACAGGGGCCATTACGTTTGCGTTTGTGCATTTGCTCACACGAAGGCGGCGGGGTCAATCACAGCGATACGTAGTAGGTCGACGTGCTCGACAGTTATTTCCCTCGCACAGAAGCAAGGGGTGGATGGCGAGACTCAAGTACATCCAAGAACAATAGGGATACTGCCCTCTGATATCAAGTTCTGCCTGCAAACGCAATAGGATGTAACTGGAGCGGAGGCTGGGTGGACGCTGAACGCAAAGCAACACCATTCAACAAAGCTGCAACCTTTCAGCGCACGTCATGGGCGAGCCCCCCCATGGGGAACCGTTTTTGTTTGACAGGTGGTACACGCTTCCATGGAAGTCGCTTGGAGCTTCCATGGAAGCAAACGGAAACTCGCCACGCTTCCATGGAGGCCCCATGTACTTCTATGGAAGCCACTTAACTCCCATGAAAGCTGTATGGAAGTTGCTTGGCGGATTCGCGG